AAGGCAGTTTCTGTGCCATTCTGTGAATGTATGAAGACCTGAGATTAAGAGGTCTGTAAGGAATCTGTGAAAGTCTGTTCTTTGTTAGAGTTGGGGGAAGTCAATCTACAGGGATCGTGATTGTGTTTACTATCACGTGAGGGTCATGCTGTCATCTCTTTGACCATTTAATCTTGATTACTTATCTCCTTCCTGAGTTGTTATGATCAGTGTGTTCCTTTTGTGTTAATGTTGAAAGCTGTTCTGTGAAAGAGTTGGTTAGTCTTGCTTCAGACTGGCTAGTGCTAGGGTCTGATTTATGAACATCCTGTTGTCTTGGGCCTCTGTGGAATTCGGCTCCTCATGTTTCAACCATGTTTTGACCAAATCTTAGATTGTCTGATTTGGACTGATATCCTACACATCCCCCCTTTGATCAGCGATGTGTTGAGCTGAAGACATCTGCTATTTTATTTCAACCATTAATCCTCATCAGAGGCTTACGTAAATATTTGGTGTATACGTAGGGTTATGTTTCAAATAAGTTTATTGATGCAATGCAAACATATTTAGCAGTGTGTAAGTTAGTGCCCCTTTATATCAAAACTAAGCTTGAATGGTGCCAAGGTGATTTTTTCATGGCTGTATGAAGTCAGTTCTCCTCAAGCACACACAGGAATCCTATTAGAGTAACCACAGGTGTAGTTCATTACATTATCCACGTACATGGTCCACTAACATTTGATAACCACAAACTACTTGTTTAAATTTGTTAAATAAGTTTGAAGTTTAAAGTTTCCAAAGAGCTTTTGGGTCCTTTTGGAGTCTACAGCTGCTCTTCACACAAAAACTGGCCAGTTTCAGCTTACCTCAGTGTTGAAGTGTTTGTCCTCTTTGTCTTCTCTCTCAGGCATCGTATCTCTGATATCCTTGGTGGTTCTTTCTTACGACCGCTACAGCACATTGACGGTGTACCATAACCGTGGTCCAGACTATCGCAAGCCTCTTCTGGCAGTAGGGGGTTCGTGGCTGTACTCTTTGATCTGGACGGTGCCCCCTCTTCTGGGCTGGAGTAGTTATGGGCTGGAGGGTGCAGGAACCAGCTGCTCTGTATCATGGACCGAGCGTACGGCCAAGTCTCATGCCTACATCATCTGTCTGTTTCTATTCTGCTTGGGCATACCAGTGCTCATCATGGTCTACTGCTATGGGAGATTGCTGTATGCCGTCAAACAGGTAAACTGCAGTTCTGTGTTGTGCATGAAAAACAGCTTGGAATAGGGCTGGACAATTCATCAAATTTCTAATCGCAATTACAATTACGGATGCCACAATTTATCGTTCAAAGTCCACTCATGTTATTTTGCGTGCTTAAGATGTTTTTTTTCTTTCTTCAGGTTATGTTAAGGGTTTTTGTTTCCCATTGTTTTAATTTTATTTTTAATATAACATTATAATACCATGCATATTTTAACTTTTTATTTAAAGCAGAAACCAATCCAATGTATAATTCACATTTGAGGCTTAATACTATAAAAAAAACAAAAGTTTTTCAGTTAGAATGTTTTCAGCTTGTTGATTTTCATAAAAAAATACGGCATGCAGTTGCTTCAAACAATGATATAAACAGCACTCAATGTCAATTGTGATAATCGTAATTAATCATCGCAATTACAATTTCTATATTTTTGTCATAAACCTAGTTTGGGATTAAAAACTCCCTTCGAATCTGTTACTGAATTTGCAAAGGCTCTGACAGGATCTCAAGATGTTTGAAGATGCTGCCAATTCTGTGGATGTGCACTGATTCATCCAAACTCAGAAAGCTGAAGTGTTAATTCAGAGGAAGTAAACTGTATAATTGGTTGCTGAAAATTGGGTAACGGACATTGTTAATTGTTAGTTTAAACCCATTTTCGTAGAATCATGAGAAGGAGAAGAAACCAGCAGAAAAACCCTCTAGAGAACTTATGTTGTTACGTAATCTCAAACACAGAGGAAGTTTACAGCTGCAATTTTAGCAGATGTAGTAGCTGCTCAGGAGGACTATCACATATTTGGTCCTTGTCAGATGCCAGCTCTTGAAGTTTTTTTTTGTATTGGGATATATTCTCCCGCCTGAAAGCAATAAAGGAGAAATAAAAAGGGCTTTGAAGGAACAAAGAAGCTATATGTTGTCAAGGTGACTGGACATAAAGTAAGAAAACAAGCAGGAAAAAAAAAAGTGTTATTCTGACCTTAGTTTTTTTTTTTTTTAAACCAGAGAAAACCTTATTTTTCTTTCAACATGTTCTGTAGTGTCTGGTTCCTTGAGCAACCTGTTAAGGATTCAAGGATTCAGAGCGTTTATTGTCATATGCCCAGTAAGGGTTGATAAGGATCTCATGTGTATGGCAGTATGATTGGATTTCGATACATTATTATCTGGGCCCAGTCACTGGAGTGTAATTGTGTTCAGTTGGCTGCTGTGAGGAGGATAACATACACATTTCACTCTGGCTTGAGAGGGACACATTTATCCGTCCAAGCCAATGTGACAGATCCCCATATATCCAGTTAATCATGTTGAATTTCTGATGCAATATATTAATCAAGACATTTTCCAACAGTCACATCTGTGACTTGCTGGGTGAAAATATGAAGCTTGTATATGATGCTTCATGTATAATGTGAAGGTGGCATGTAATAAATTGAGTACTACGAGACATTCATGATTCCATCTACTCATCATCAGTCACATCACATGCAAATAAATTGTATTTCTGCAGAGGAAGCATGGGTGCTTGTAACAGATAAAAGGGCCTAGAAGAACAGAGAGGAAGATGACTTTCTGTAAATGACAATTATAGTGACTGTAATTAGAGAGACAATTGTATTAGTTATATTTACATAGAGCTTAGTAATTTGTTAAGAATTCAACTCATAGCCCAGTTAGAATGAAAAGGTTTAACAAATGAGCTTGATCCAATTGAAAATGTAGGCAGTCTTATTTATCTAATTCTTATTTATGAATTCTCATTTGTTACGCTAGCAACATAACAAGGAAGTTTTAGAAATTAAAAATAAAATATTTTGTTATATTATTTTAAAATCTAAATAAATGATAAGATAAACTGGTATTCATTTTAAGATGTTTTTGAAAGAAGTGTCTTCATCTTAACAAGGCTTCATTTATTTGATTAAAAAAAAACAGTAAAAACAGTAAAATTATGAAATATTATTGCAGTTTAAAATGACTGATTTTAAAATGTAATTTATTCCTGTGATGGCAAAGCTGAATTTTCAGCATGATTACTCCAGTCTTCAGAATTTCTTTACCTGCATGTCATGTGTCCCAGTTCCACAAAGCAAGTGTGACTACAGTTGTCAGTACTAGCAGTTCTATAGGTAGGTAGGTGTGTGTGTGTGTGTGTGTGTGTGTGTGTGTGTATAGATAGATAGATAGATAGATAGATAGATTAGACTTGTGCCGGTATTCGGTAATGCGATACATCACGGTAATGAATATGCATGATATTGTTATCGTGGGCACTTCTAAATACCGTGAATAATTATACATTACAAATTATTCAGAATTTTGAATGAGCTTTTACATCACTTTTCTGGTTTCAGAGTGCTCTATAAGCATTGGTAAGGACCAGGCCTTATTTCATGAAGGGTCCTCATGAAGGAACAGTGTGAAAGACAAATAAACCCTTACCTTCGCCTCCGCACAGTTATCATTATACCTTCATACACATAAGGTTATTGTTTCTTAACATTACGGATGGATGAAAACACAATGATGCTACTGTCTGGCCACTCAAATCAAATAATAGTTATATACCTTTTTCCCATGCTGTGCAACCTCAAAAACAAGCATGGTAAAGCATATGCATTTTTCAATAAAATGCATAAAACCTCTCTTTAAATTCACCATGAAGTATGCATCCTCTGTTGCTAATTGTAAAACATTATTTTAGATTTTTTTTCCATTTTTGCGGATTCTAAAGTTTCTGTGCACAAGTGTGTGTCTGTAGAGAGAGAGAGAGAGAGAGAGAGCAGGAGAAAGGAATCATGATCTCCTTGGAAAACAAAAGGTAATTTAGTGGGAACACATGGAAATTGTTCATTTTTATCCTATTGTTTGTCATATTTGTTTGCTTGGTCAGTGTATTTGGCAGTTTTGGTTCTTTTGCTGCTGTTTTGCTGTAAGAACAATTGAAATAACGGAAGTATTTTGGCGAAGTGATATTGAACTGGAACTACTGTAGTGATTATGTATTTTGAAAGCCAACCTTTGGTTGCATTTGGATTACGGCAGAAAATAAGATCTACAACCAACAAAAGTTTGATTCTTAACCTTTTTTTTTATTGATGATAATATTCACAAATGAAAACAAAATGCATTCATTTTGAGGTCTAAATACAATCGGCACAAGTAAAAATCTATAAACAAACTCCCTGTTAGCATGAACCGAGCATCACACACACACACATATATACACATATATATATATACACATATATATATATATACACATATATATATATATACACATATATATATATATACACATATATATATATATACACATATATATATATATACACATATATATATATATACACATATATATATATACACATATATATATATACACATATATATACACATATATATATACAC